GGATTCAGCTCGTCGAAAGGAAACGAAAGTGTCCCATTCGCCGAGACGATCGGAGACAAAATGCCAGTGTTATTGACGTTCAAAGTGACACTAAGTCAGTTTTGGCACACTGCAAAAAATTAGAGTCTGATACGGAACGATCTACAGTTACTGTAGATGCCACTCTGAGCCACTGCACCTAGGGTACAGAACGCTGAGTACAGTGTTGCTGTAGCACCGGAAAGCCCAGGTTTTACACGGTACAGTGTACGAAGACGGCTCCACTGTAGACAGTTTTGTCCGCTTTTGCCTGTACAGTGGTCCTGTACATTGCTCCCTGTACCAAATTTTAACCATTAAAACTACAGCGATGCTGTTATTTGAATAACAGATGTTCCTTGGAAATGAATTAGCCGCATTACCTGTTATAATTTTTTGCAGTGCACTTATTGTCGCTTTGAAGAGTAAATTTCAGTTTTTTCGATTTTGGACATGTTGTGGGTGGGGCGGGCTGGCACGGGTGACGGGTTCTTGTTTCTGGGCTTGTTACCAAGCAGAATGCGCGACAAAAGTTTCAAAAATGTGAACCAAAATTTTGTAGGGCCTAAGTGCGCTGTGGCGGACGTCCGTCGATCTGTAGGGTGAACGACATGTCGCCCGAAGTTCGGCGACACACCGTCGGAAAGAGCCCATCCTAGAGAACACTTGTCGCCGCCCGAGCGCCGCCCGAGCGCCGCCACGCATTTCAACCCCCAATCGGGCCGAAATCTTTGACCGCGAGGTGGGAGCACTTCCCGACATCGCAGGACGTTCGCGTTTGCACCAAAATTCGTCATTTTTTATGCTCTTTCAAATTTCACGCCGTTCCAAAAAAAAAATTTTGGCCCAGGCTACCGTTCGTCCCCTAATTGTTTCCTTCGCTTTACCTGCCCCAAAGACCCTCCTAATTCCAAAGTATGTTTTTTACCGAAATAATATGTCTTTTTAAGGGCCCATACCGCATTGTGAACGCAACAGTCGACTGGGAATCGTTTGAGAGGTTGATACCAATTCTCAAATTGGAGGATCAAGTGTTTAAGATTGCTTTCATGCTGTACAATGAACGGAAAGAGCTAAGTATGTGTATACAGGCTATTGTTGGCATCTTGCGTGTCAGAGCGTAAGCAATTTTACAAAACAAATAAAAACAATTGCTGGAATATATTCTTGCTGTAGTATCGTTACAAGACGTATCACACTTTATTAATAACAATAAAAGGACAAGGGGCAGATCATAAGAAACGAGCAATCATTTGGTATTTGGTGGGGATTGTGAGATCCCTCTGCTTCAAAAAACATTCGTTGAGTCCAAAACAACACAAGGTAGATGTACGCCAGACCACGTCTCGCGTAATAGGCTTCGCGATATCTCACGAAACACTGTTACGCTGCGACGCCCCTGGCATACATCTACCTTGACCTGCGGCGCTGACACCCGAGTCGAGTAGTGGCAAATTGTACACAATGATACGGGCCTACAGCCCCTCAACGGCCCATCACCTCGACTAAGCATGCAGGGTTGTATATTTTTCCGCATATCTTCTTCAGAAATACCCTCTATCGCCTCAACGGTTCGAGCTAGAGCAAAACGGACACAATTTTCGGCCAGAAATCTCTACTTTAAAGTGTTATCCCCTAGAAAACCTTAAATCCAGACCACGTCTCGCGTAACAGGCTTCGCGATATCTCACGAAACACTGTTACGCCGCGACGCGCCTGGCATACATCTACCTTGGCCTGCGGCGCTGACACCCGAGTCGGTTAGTGGGAAAGTGTAAACTAAGGTACGGGCCTACGGTCCGTCAACGGCTAATCACCTCGACTAAGCATGCAGGGTTGTACATTTTTTCGCTTATTTTCG